GACACGGTCGGTGGCCCCGCTGTGCTCGATGAACACGATGACAACTCTACATGGACAATGTATAACATGACAACTGTTTCAACACTATTATACAAAAACTTCTGACATTTATTGCATATCATTACTAACACAAATGATTACAGTCACCAAGTAACAGTATAAATTGGTTCCTCTACTCAAGGTTAAATTCATTTGGATAAACTTCTATTAATCTAATAGTACTACATTTTTTACTATTTATAAAACATGTTAAGAATAACAATTTATATCACGAGAATAAAATTTAAAATGCACATTTGCATAATTGAAGGTTTGATTAAAAAATACAGGTTACTGCATTGGGCACAAGATTAAATCGAAAAACAAGAAAACAAAACTAAATCTAGTTTAAAACATTATTCAGCAGTATAATTATGTATTTTTTTACAAAACATTTGCCTTTCACTATTATTTTTTGTATGGTGATCATTCAGAATACCCTTCATGCATGTTTTTAAAGGAGTTCGATTTGTTAAAAGAATGACATGGAAAATTTACTAGTCAATTATAGACACATACATCTTAGCCCCCTATTAGTAAGCAATTCCAATACAGCACTTTTTAAGTAAAATTATGCAAACATTTTATTCCACCTTTTCGACTTCTCCAATATGGGTTATAACTATAGTAGTATTGTTACATAAAAGAGTAACCACTGACCTGCGCTGGGTTCAGTCCACCCCTGTATGATTGTGGTGGGCACACAGCTCTCGGGCTTCCTCTCGAAGAGTGCACACTGCAGACTGCTCAGTTCCGCTTCTTTTACATCTGACAAGTCTAGGAACTCATATTCCTGAAACATGCCACTACAGTTTAACTCAGCTATTAACTTCTCTACATAATTACAATGTCTTTTACAGAAATCACCGATAGATTGTGAATTCGGTTAATTTTAAATCAGACTAGGCATGTGGCACAAAGTGTCAAAAGATTGAAATAGCCTATATTTTAAATTCATGTCAATTTATAGGGTATGTAACGTAGTTCATTTAAGAAAAATAAGTAAATAAACTATTATAATACATACTTTTGAATGGAGGAAGGAATTTTTTACTTATTTTAGAAAAAAACACTCGGCACAAGTCTTCCATTGTAATTTAAGAAGTTTGTATACTTTAATGCACAATAGACTCAACATGCAGTTTATAGTAAATAAACTCCTTTCATTTGACAATAATTTGATCAGTTCCCAATTTACTGACAGTTAATATACCTAGTCAGATTATAAACCACCATAGTTCACTTTCTACATTTACTGGTCTACTTTAGTACACACAAATAATCTACTTACATACGATCTCTTCCTACTTTATAAATATTGTGTTTAAGAATTCAGTACTAAAATACATACTTGGTTATTTAATAAAAGTATTTCTAATATGTTTATTGGTTAGAATAAAAGACAAGTTCTTGAAGTCAAGAAAACATTAACCAAAGGATATCTTGAAATATTTCATAATTTAATTAGACAACATTAACCAAATATAAAGTATTACTTTTATTATTTAAAAATCTAGAAATAATATATTCTATTTTATTCAGTGATAAAATTAACTTTCAAATAGTAAAAGAATTTTCAAAATATACCAATTATGACAAATCATTCCTCTTAATATAAGTTAACAAAAAGCGAGCCTTAGAAGTGTATCAAATATTTCCCATCTTCTGAAGTTAATTAAACTATCGGTTTAATATTAATAAGAATAAAAGATTATAATAATCAAGTCACAATAGCTGTAATAAAACAATTTAAACAAAACCCCCAATAGTAAAATCAGGTTTACTTTTAAACTACAAAAATAACCATTAAAATAAAAATTAAACTTGAATTATTTATTCAGACCTTGAATGACCTTGATACTTTTCCTTATTATATCTAGTTCCATACATATTAATGGCTCCAATGTACACTATTGCATATTTGAAACAAAAATTTTGGATAACTTTAAGCATAATTGATTGTGACATTTTAAACATGGAAATGTTATCAATGGGTGAAAGGATATTTGTTTCAACCACCATTTTACGCGATATTGACTCATATATTCAGAATTTAAAATATGAAATAAATAATGAATTATGAAGAAATATAGTAATTTTATTCTAGAACCGGTCTGAGAATCTTTCAATTGAAATTATTCTCAGGGTTTGCGTTTAAGGTTTTTTTTTTAAATGAAGGCTTTAAATGGCTCTTGTGAACATTTTACCTAATGGCACTTAAAAAAAAATAGCCTTTCGCCCAACATTATAAACAAGCAAATTGATATATTTGTATAAAAACATAAAACAAAGCATAAATAACAAAATTGTTACTAATTGTCAACATAAGAGCCACCAATATATAAAAAGTTTTATGTGATAATGCTTTTACTATTGATTTTAGTAATAGAGATAGATTGGACGTTACTATATATTCCTTTTGCAATTTTTGTGTCCAAGGAAAATAGGTAAAAAGCATATTTGATCCTAATATATTAAGCCTCCAACAGTTGTACTATAATCCATCTGGAATAATTTACAAGTAATCCCTATTAATTTCATACTATAAGTTGTTTTAATGATTTTATCATGACTTAAATAACCATCGCTTAATATTTTGTGCACACAAGGATGATTGTTGTAACAACTCTGATATGCAAATTTATTTAAATGTTTTTAATTATTTACACCTATACTTGTTACAATTTAATACACAGAGTTTTAAGTAACTTAAACTTTTGTAAAGATTATTTAGTTATTCACCTCCAAAGTTACTTTCTAATAACTACAAGATATCTACATATGTATGATTCTATAATATTCAGAAAAAGAGGACAGTTGAGAAATATGCACAGACAGATGTCATGCAGTGCACCAAGGTGACATAGTTCTTTGTAAGTTTTATTTTTGTAATGATCTGGCTTTTTTTTTTCATAGGCATTACAATTGATAACTGTTTTTCTCTGAATAGACTTCAATGACCAAGCAACCTTGAAATGATTGACTGAAGTGTCATAATGAAATTTGGACCTCTTTCTAGGTTGTCAAATTTATAGGTTATAAATTTACAGGGAATATCTTTTATAATATACAGCACGATGGAATTAAAACATCTTTAATTATTAGAATTAGCATTTATTATATCGTGCAAAAGTACATTATGCAACTTGGTCTGTGCCGACTGAATAATAACAACAAATCCATCTATGCACATGTGGTTTATCAAGTCATGTAATACGATGCAATATTGAAATACACATACCTAGAACCAATGTTTATCAAATTGACTTCCTTTTCAATTCCTTCCGATTAAAGCATATTTTTCACCATCTAGTATTTCCTCGTAAAAAGTCAAAGCTGCAAAATGTGCGGAACATTTGGAGGACTATAAGATGGCGTAACAACGCTCGGTTGCCGGGTGCCATTTATTGACAAATCAACAAACTTCAATTTTTATTGTGCAAATGCGAAACTGTATACCGTCTAATCGATAAAAACTATTAGACTTACCTCCCACGTGCACACATATTCTGGAAAGAGATTTTTTCTAATGTAATGGCCAGTTTCAAAATCACCAAAACAAGAAACAAAAGCCAAACAAAATTAAACGAAATATGCTGTAACTATGTTTCTCTTACCGTTTTCATCAAATCCATGGCCTTTTACAGGACACCATCACGAATATTATATCGGGGTAATATTACATATGTGAAAGACTGCGGTGTTACGGAATAAAAATCTTGGAACGGGATCAACGTCGAGGCCATGCACTCACCAACACACAACAGGATATGACAAAACGCGCGCCATTTTCAACTTAATTTCATTAGCCAATAGAATTACGATATTTCCAGCGAAGTGACATAGACAATTTTATGCGCAAAGTTGTCACTCTTTGCGGATATTACGCATTTTTCCTCTTTCAATATTGTTTGAAGGCATGTATGATGCGATCAGGCACATTAAATCTATAATTTTAATATATAAAAAATCATTATAAAGATTAAATGATGACATTTAAATTAATTGTAATTGTAAATTGCATCAAAACTTTTTCTTTTGAAAATACGAAACAACTGTTCATTTTCTATTGTTAATTTTACTCTATTTCATTCCTTATACTCAATGGTTATTTTTTTATTTCGCGGAACTTAAATTAATATTTTCACGCGCATAAGTAAACCAATAACCTTTTTACTTTTTGCGATTAAAAAAAAACAATATCCCAAGATGATTGTCTATAGTTGCTAATGTCTAATGTAGCCAATAGATGTCGTTACATGTTATATTGTAAATTTTGTTTATTCATTTCTCTTTGATTATTGAACGATTACGGGAAAACATATTTAAACAAATCTAATTTTAAAAGAAAAAACGGGTATTCATGAATATACATAACTCCTTACAAATTAACAAAACAAGTAGTGATGCTTATTGTGTACTAACGGTTTTCTTTTTTTAAACTCGTTACACTATTTTTAATTTCATTACGTTAGAACAACGACATAACCTGTGTTAGACAATGTTTAAATATTATGAAAAAAGACTTAATTAATTCCACGACCATAAAAAAATTGGATAGCCTATCTATCACTAAAAGTAATCAAATACCAAAAGTGACTCGACAGACAAAAGTGATAAACAATTATTTATACTCGAACGTGTAATATGACAATAATGGGGTAAAGTCGTCACGTAGCGACCGAATTAGATGGAAGCAAACATTCCAATATTTGTTGAGATAAGAAGGCTAATAGAATCGTCGGGATCGCCGTGGGCAGGTGCGAGCTGAGTCATGCATCCTTCACAACTGCCAATTTCGCTTTCCTAGCCCTCTCGTTATTGTATCGACTCATTTTAACAAACCAATTCGTGAGTACGATAAATTTAGTAAATTGGATAGAATCATACGTGAACTTCTGTACAAAGACGTAACGATTTATATAACAAGCATTGTATAAATTATTTAGCAATTAAGCATGGATAATTTATACAAAGATTATTTTATGTGATATAATAAAATAGCATTTAGAATTTGGTATGGAAATATCTTTTCAATAAACATTCTGAACTTCTTTTAAAAAGATACAAAAGATCTTTTTGTTTTATTTCTAAAAGTCTATATAAATTATATTCAATCACGGCAGTACATCAATATGCGAGAACTAAAATAGAGAAAGGAAACTTCTAATTTAGATATAGGTTCGTGTGTACATTAAAAAATGAGCCTTATAAAAAAAGAAATAAGTGCAATAATGGTATGGATGTTTAAACATCTTATGTCTTTTTAGAAATGTATTAATTCTCAAGCTTATGGATTCCAATAATGTTGCAGGCAGTGATACGCCCGAGTGCTTCATATCACTTGTATTTGTTTATTCAAGAAAAAAAAACTCCCATATGGATAAGATTCTTCTCTTGTATTCTGTGAAGTAAATGAAAATGTTTTGATAACATTGAATGTTGTTTCATGTTATTATTGGATATAAGATTTTATTACTCATAGTGGTATATCAGATTTACCTACGCCAATTCGAGTATACAGTCGCTATATACCTTTAACGACATCTATCGGCCCAACTATAACAGAATATAGTTATTCGCGCTTTGATTCCTATGATCTTATATGGGCGCACACTACTCGATTTTTATGCAACTAAACAGTTGAATTTTCTTCAAAACAATCGCCAATCGCACAACAGTTGTGCGATAGATTAGTCAAAGGCGTGCGCCCATTGTTAATAGTTTTTGAATGAAATTCTTTTGTGATTAAATTACTGTTCCGAATATTATAGCCAGAGCCACAACAAATGATATAAGTAAACATCTCTGACACCAATTAATTTGGGTCCCGTATTATTCAGTTTGTGTGAGTAATCTGTTTGTTTAATTTATTTGTTTATTTTGCGCGGTTGAGCCTTTAATTGAGAAATCTCGTCACCCCTAATCTGAAGGAGGTTTTGTTAACTTACAAAGTGTCAAGTTTCGTCCCCAAATACTTCTTGATTTCACTAACTAAATATGTCTGGACTAATCGTTGCAATGACGTCATCGATAAACCTAAAGACTTTACTTTATAATAACTGTTGCCCGCGACTTCGTCCACGCGATATTAAGATAAAAATGTAGATATGACCGTCTATGTCAGTTGCTTTTCAGTGAAACCTGTCGTAATCGGCCCAGCCGTTTCGGAGGTTACTCGGAGCAAACGCGGCTTGCGGACAGACAAAGATTTTTAATGCGATTTTCCTTATCAGCAATGCAAATACATCATCTTCCCAATATCTGGAATTTATCTTTTGACATTACAAACACACTCCAATTTCATTATATGTACATATAGATAAATTAGATGTAATTTGACTTTTACTTTGTATCTTATACGCAATATTTTCAGTTTCTTATTGTTATCTAAAAAGGAAGCTACTTAGAAGCTTTACAATCAACGCTTTTTGCCTTATTAAAAAGGGAAACAATCAAGACATTTGTATGGGTCGTACGCAGAAGGCTCTCTTTGAAAGCAATTACTTAAGTCCGCTAACTAAGCTCTGCTACGCGTTACTACTGATGGCCTCAACCGATAACGAACTCTTTTTATTAACTGTATTGCGACCGACAGCTTAAAGTAAATGTTTTAATTTTTTAAAGAAATTTCAAGTACATATGTCGTCATATATGCCCACTTAGATTCGGATTGAAAGTAAATATAATTTAATACAATGTTTCTGTAGGTATTCTTGTTTAAGAACAAGAAAAAGTACATTACGAACTTATCTTCACTATTATAACAAAGCTTACAAACACACTTCTTTGTTGCCTAAGATGTCAGCAATTACAGCAGATTTTTGAATAATTCTTCTTTTTAATAAAAAGCCTTACACTTACGTCACGCTTTAGGCTATATATTTTCACGCCGTAGGAGGTAAATATTTTGGATAAAAACCCTAATGTGGGAAAGAGACCATAAGTTGCTGCCAACATCAAGGAAGCAAGATTGCTATGTTTTGTCATCATTACATGTCATTTTGACATATGCAATTGATAATTTGACGAATGTAAAAAATAAAATAAAGTTTTCACAATTTTATGTGGATGAAGTCGCACGGGAACAGCTAGTTTATGTTATAATTTTTTTTATTGATAACTTAACCTTTACATCCGGCTACGTCCTTGTGGAGCCGTCGAGTAATCCTTAGAAAAAGCAGAAAAAGAAAATAATACAATATTTGCATATCCTCAGCCTAAGGTTGTCCATTATTTGCATATTTCAATTAATAGAATGCATCACAAGTGTTTGGTACTCGTACGGGTTCATATAGTTTGAATATTGCGGCCCGGAATAATGTAGGTAACCAGGCGCATTTTTATTCTCACACAAGAGGGTAGATTGAAATCCCTTACGGGCGCGGCGCCTGCGAAGAGGTGTGCGGAAAAAAGTTGTGTGCCAGCTAAGCAGATCGGTCGGTTACAAAGGTGCGAGTTAAAAGGTCATCGAAAGTGGTTGCTTGTCCGATATAGCAAAAGACACGACGGGCGTGTCAATTTTGTTAGCGAACGGGGTCTCTTGAAATAACGGTGTACACGGGTTCATCTGCAGGCAGCATCGCTGGCACCTGTTGACTTGAAAGAACTACATTTGACTTGATTGACACTGGCAGAGACTAAGAATCTGCAGGATGTGAAGCGGGCATCGAACATGCAAGTACCTATTTTCTTCAACATTCAATTTTATTTGTTTACAATATTATGCCCTTTGGTGCATGCTAGTTTAATCGTTTGTTGTTTCCTAATAATGATAAAATGAAGCTATATTTTACTTCAAAAATATGTCTTGCAACTTATTCAGACTTACGTTCTACATAAGTTTCACGCCGACAAGCCAGTCTGGGCGACGGAGGGAAATCTATAGCTAATTTATGTACCACTTAACGATAAAGTTCTGCATATTCTAGCGTACTTTACTGATTCATTTGTTAAATATCGAATAGATATTAGCCATTTTCTAACGGCTTGAATTTTTTTTATTTTATTTCTATATATACACGGTGTATTGTCGATTTTACAAGTTAAAGAAAGTTCTATTGTCATTTAATAATTATTTAAAACCAAACGAATCGGTAGTATGAAAGTTAACATATAAACTGAACAAAAAATAATACACATTATTAAACATGAATTGCTGTATAACTAAACTAGCTGTAGCTCACGATTTCGTTCGCGTGAAACTAGAAAAAAAGCCTATGTTATTCACTGATAATATAGCTTTTTAATGGTGAAAGAATTTTTGAATTTGGCGCAGTAGTTTTTGAGTTATCTCAATATATACAAAAATACAAATCTTTCCTCTAACTATATAATATTAGTATAGATTCAACTTTGTGCTTAATGACAAAATAAAGTTTTTAGACCATAGTAAACTGATATATTATATTACCTTTACTTTAAAAATAATCAATTTTTAAATAATATTCCTAGACATTGACCATCAGAAACTCTCCTTACACTTACATATTTAACCACAATCTCGTTTAAATTTAAAAATACTATGAGCGTTGCTGTCGAAGGTAAATTTTGCTTAACCGTAGGATCCTTCGTTAAAAATTCTATCACAGGAAGTAATAACGAGAACGTCTCGCTTCATGTATGAAACATTTTTCATCTTTTTGAGTGATTTGGATGATTTGGATTTAAATTGTTAAATACTAGCAAACGAAAATGAGACTTGTCTTCTTAATTAGAGAGCAGCTAATGCTTTAGCTGATTGATGAAGTTGCTTTTATTTGGATTGAAATGGTAATGA